CTCTCTCTCTCTCTCTCTCTCTTTCTTTCTTTCTTTCTTTCTATCTATCTCTCTCTCTCCTTCTCCCCTGCGCTCAATGCGCCTGCTTCCCTCTCTCTTTCTCACTTTCCTTTGTAACCTGCAGAAAGTTTCTGTTCCTCACTGGCCACAAGACATAGCCTCAAACGTTTAACTGTTTTTACAAACGGCTTGGTTCTAAACAGGGGATAAATAAGCACTGAAAATACATTTTTTTAACCCATCAAATTGAAGGGGAAGGTGTATCGACAAAGATTTTATAGTCAGTCTACGTTTTCACTGCCCCTGAAACGGGTTGGGGGGGTTTGGGGGGGGTTGTTTGTTTGTTTGTTTGTTTGTTTGTTTGTTTGTTTGTTTGTTTGTTTGTTTCGGCGGGGTAGATTTTAATAAACAACTTTCAGTCTTCAGAAGCACAGTTCCGGATGTTTTACACAAATGTATCCAATTTTTTACACCTTCTGTAGGGATTTCCAGATGGATGCCACTTTGAAAAGTCAGTTGAAGAGTCAGTTGTAGTCTATTTTGTGAATTATTGAGGAACAGATGACGTCAGCGGGAGATTATGACCAAAGTGTTTAGTTTCGTTTAAGTAACAGTTGTACGGTGCTTGCAACACAACGAGGTCTTTATAAGTGCCGAAGATTAAAAGTGTTACTCGAGAGTAACAAACACAAAAAGAAGAAGGAGAGATAAAGACGATAGATGCTTGATAGGAAAGAAGGAGCAAACCACTCCAGAGCACCAGCCAACCACCCATTAAAGTGTAAGTTGCCTGGTATCCTCTCCTCACAACTTTGTACTTCCCAGTGTTCAGTCTCTGCCCACTAGTGTCTGTGGTGTAGTGGTTAGGCGCTTTGCTGTCTCACGCAGGAGACCCGAGTCCGATTCCAGAGTGGGGAGAAATTCTTATCGAGTAGCCCTACTCGGCTTTTCTACTGGAATGTTGTATCCCTCTCAGCCCGGTCAGGCCCTGAATGCAAGGTTGAAAGCCCGCCTTCTAATTCATCTTAACTGATTTTATCTAAATTTAATCCCTCTTCTGTGGGAGGCATACGGTGTAGCAGTCTATTAAGAGCTCAAACATCAACATTCACGTATTTCAGACTGTGTCAATTGTCAACACCTATTTGCAGGGAGGTAAACAGGGAGGTGTCGAGACAAACATCCTGCACATCGAACTTACGATCTTTTGAATGGGAGTCTGACGTCTTATGGTCGTTGCTGGTGGAAAAATAAAGCGCGGTTTCATCAGAGAAACGAAAGGCAAACGAGCCTTGATGCTGTCACTTCTATATGGGGGACACAATACTACATTGAAAGGCTCTCTATCTTGTCTTTGTAGTTTATGTTCGTTTTCATACCTACAGTCACGACTTAATTTTAACGCTTCTTTCAACATAGTAAAATTGTGTAAGAGGCAGAATCTCCGAATATACAAGGCCAAGTGGTTTGAGAGTCTTGAAAATTTCCAAAACAACCCTAGCTCGAAAACATGAACAGTTTCCTTATCAGTAAATGAGGTAACCATAATGGCGTCATTATCGAATCTATTGGACTGTAATTTTATAGTTGACGCAAACACGCAAATGCGTCATAGATTTCCCACCTTTTAATAACGCACAAAAAGTGTGTTGTTATTTTTTTAAATTGATGGAGCAGAACACACCGACTAATCTGTGCGAAAATATTATTCATTGTTCGCAGCGAAGCTCATTTATCTCGAACCAACCGATCTATAGATTTGGAGAAAGGACGGACAAAAGGGACCAGTTTTACTCTTGCAAAGACGCGGTGAAACTGTACCTCTTCACCCCCGGAGGGTAAACGCCTCCGGAAGAAATGGAGTCTGAGATATCATGTATCGTTGTCAGGCGATCGTTTTTGTAAAATGCAAGAGACGCTGATAATGATGCGCCGGCTCGTTTCTAAGTAGATAAATGTTTGCAAAAACATTTGCGGGTGTTCCTGGTAATGAGACGCGTAATTCTATACCATTGCAGAATTCTGAGAAGTCCGAAATAGAAGAATCTTTCTTTCTTTTCTTTTTTTTTCAAGTGAAAAGCGGGATACTGGAGAGTTCTTTTGTTCTACTTTCTAAACATGTCTTGCCAACTGTGCAACCCATTAAGATTTTATATTGGGCTGAATACCATTTATTTTCTTTAGTACTGCATCTTGTAGGTGGTCCAAATTGTTGTGAAATGTTTCCCTTCCAGACGCTGAAAGATATTTTATCTGAAAGTATCCCAAACATATTAACAACAAATTGCTTGTTTTGTTACTGGTGTAAATTGTCTTGTATTATTTTGCTCCTGTACATATTTTACACACTGAACAATAAGATGAAAATTCCACAGACAAAGAAACTAATGTCTATTCCTGTTTTTCGCAGAAGTTTAGCAAACATACTCTGCTTTATTATAGTTTGACACGTGATTATGTATGACATCGGACGAAAACAATATAGTGCGGACATGATATCGAATGTGTGTAAACTGTGTACAATATATACGTAGACAATTATTAACTCATATCATTATTAATTTAGTTATTGCGTCTTGAAATGATTGTGCATGTTGCATTTATCCCATTTGTTGGAGGACGTGAATGTTGACTGTGTGGCTGTTGTTTCATCTTACATGTAAATAACATCTGTAGAATATAACGTCTGGTTTTTTTCATGACCAGTGTCTTACTTACTTGGTTGGAGAATATATATCACTGAAGGCGGCACAATGCCATAGCTGCTCCTCCCTCCTCTCCAAGATCCATGAAAGGGTCTGCTTGACCATTATCGTTCCCTTCTCAAACATACAAACAGGATAGACAAGAATCGAGAAGATAAGTTCTTTTATTATCAGCTTAGATTTTTGCTCAGCTACCAACCTTAACAGTTAAAGACAAGTACACACAAAAAAGACCAAACAACACACTGTAGGTTGACAGTTTGTCTTTCTTACAAACACGCCATCCTTAGCCGTTTTTCACAAGTGTACATATAGGTTTGTCAATCTGTGTCTGCTTACCTGAGAGTATAACAGAAAGTATGAGAGAGAAAGTGTGTGTGTGTGTATGTGTAGTGTATGTGTCTGTGTGTCTGTGTGTCTGTGTGTTTGGGCATGCGCATGCGTATGCGGGAGTGCGTGTGTGTATGTGTGTGTGTGTGTGTGTGTGTGTGTGTCTGTGTGTGTCTGTGTGTGTGTGTGTGTGTGTGTGTGTGTGTGTGTGTGTGTGTGCATATGTGTGCTCATGTATTAATGGATTATCATTATCATATTGTCTTTGCCAAGTTTAAATTGCTGATAAGAAACCTGAAAAATACGTACAAGAAAGTATTACCTCATGCACATAAAAGTACTGCTCTGTTAAAATGAGAACATAGTGACTGACGCTATAGAGGTACCAAGAGATATGTATAATTCTTTAACAACAAT